GATGCCTCCCTTTTCTCTGGGCTATTTCTACCCTAGTGTAGAAGGAATGGCAAAAGTCCATTAATTCAGTCCCTCCATTGGCAGTGCTCCAATCAGTGGAGGCTTTCCCTATGTCTAGTGATTTGCTAAAATGGGATGGGAACAAATCCAGAAAAAAAAATCAAATCATTTTGCCTATGAAAAGTAATACACTCATAAATTAAAACACCATCTATCAATGAAAGTGGAAATATTTAGGGGTTGGAAACAAGCACTGCAAATTTTATGCTGCAATTGCTTTACATCAAATCAGGAATGGAGAACGAAAAATCAGCAGTGGAAAAAATCCCTTTTCTCTCAAATATATACTCTTTACTTTAAAGTTACTTTAAAGACAGTCCTGTAGATGTGATGTCAATGACACCTTACACCTCTAAAAATAATTTAAGGTGTTTTTTTTAATTCTCTCTTTATGACTTTCCCCCCTTCATTATTATTGAATAACTCAAGGCGGTGAGCAAACATAATACTCCTTCGTCATCCTAGGTTCCCCACAGCAACAATTTAAGAATGAAAATTAAAATGTCTAATTTTTCTATATAAAGAAAAAGATCTCCTCTCACTGACAGTTATCCTATCCCCCATTGAATTGTGAGTGCAGAAAACAAACCAAGTTCAAATGGGGTAGTTGGACTACTCCTTTCACTTTTATGTAAAATGTCTCTGAGGAAGACAAAACAACACTGAAAGCAGCAGCCTCCAGTTTGTTTGTTTGTTTTCAAGGCTTTCCTATTTTCCTTTTATTGGCATGGGATGAATGAAGACATGGGAAAAGAGGGACTTGAAATAATAATGTGGGTGGAGGAAACAAAACTAGCTACTTGATTCTAAGCGGTTTGGTGCTAGCAATAAAAGTCCACCCAGATGCATGCAACAGATCCCTCCTAGTACTTCATAAGGCATAGCAAATTAAAGAAGTGGCTAAAGAATCTCTGCCCCTGCTTTGTGGACCATCCTGCCCCCAGATGTGAGGAAAGCCTCCAATCTCTTGGTGTTCCACAAAGGGGTCAAAACTTGGCTCTGCGACCTTGCTTGCAAGTTCCTTGAGAGCCTCCTCTGCCTGTAATACTCTAATGTTAAATGGTCATCATAGGATTTTATCTTCAATATTTATAAATTTTGATAGAATAGATTTTTTGCTTTCTTCAACACTACAATATTAATATCCTTTCTTTTTTCTGTTAAATTATTTGCATCCTCTGTATCAATTTTAAGTTATATCCAAACACTCACGTAACAAGGTACATGCCTCATAAATTGCAATGAGACTTTCTTCTTAATGGAATTGTACAGGCATAATATTGTAACTGTTGCTGGATTTTTTTTCACTATGACCATATAAGGATCTAACCAAAAACCATCTAGTTCACATTCTGTGAATGTTTAATCATATATTATTGGAAGCTTACAGGTCAGTCCTCTATTTGTTTTCTAAAACTGACATTCAGAATTTAGACCATACTATAGTTTTCTTCAGATATTTAGCACCACCAGACAATGCACTTTATTCACTGACCAATGCAACTGCAGTGCATGGATTTTTAGACTTTCATGCATGGAATAAAAACAAATAAAATAAATAAAACCAAAATTGATTTTATTCCCTCAGTTTTCTCTATCATTGTAAATATTTTTATTTCAACCATTAATAATGTAAAAGTATTAACTGAAGCTAAACTCTTCAATCAATGGAAACATTTCAGTTGAAAAAGCACAGTATCTAATTTCTCTAATTTCTCAAATGTTAAGTGGTAATTAATGACATTTGGGTATATAGTGATACATTGGCCTAAACAATAATGAAATAAATTATTAAAAGGTTCCATTTAGACAATGCAGTGTTTTTCTTGAATATACTAGCTAAAACCAGCCTATCTGATATCTGTGTCAGATTGTCCAAATCTTGATGTTTTATGATGTTTCTTATTTATGTGCCCCCTGTGTGGCACTTCCCTGCAGTTTGTTATTTTTTTTCAACAGTAGAGGGAGGAAACCAACAATGCTGGGCAACCGCATTACATAGCACACAGTAACCATGGAAGCATTTGTCTAATTGTTAAGACCCTTCCAAAGCGATTCAGCCATTCATTTCTTTGAATCAATATTGAAGCTTTTAAGATTTATTATTCAGGAGCTTAGACAAAACTAATGAAAGAAATTTGTTGTTTCTTTCCATCAGTTCATTCCATCATGTTAAGCATATATTAAGACCTTGTAAACTCTTGTATGCAATAAGTAATGTTACCACTTTTTCCTTATGGGAAGTCTAATCATAAGATCCTGGCATTAACATTCCTGACACTATGTGAAAAGAACTTAAGAACTTCTAAAGCAGATTGCCATAAAAGATGAATCTAATAAAAAGACAAAGAGAACACAAGAATAGAACATGGGAATAGAGCAAATTGCTTAAAAATCCCTCAAAAACACTTTTAAAATTGTTAGAAGTTCCTTGAACTTAACTATTTAGGAATTTTCTCACTTCACACTATTTTTATTAAAGATTTTTAAATGTATAGATTTATTTATCTACTAAATGTATAAGCCATTCATTTCATATACATGATTCTGGACAGCTCACAGGGTTGCAATTCCATATACTTAATTGGAAATAAACTTACTTCTTAGTACAGTAACACTGTACGTCAAATTGTTTTGTCAACAGAGTTTTACTTATATGCAGATGGAAACAACTTATTCTAATCATACATATATAAAGTTTGTGAATGCATAGATATAACTAAGTGACCACATGGAAGAGCAGGCAAGTGCTTGGTGGGCTAATTTGGCTATATATTAGTTCCAATGAGCAAGGGAAAATAATAGAATAAAAAAGTAGTGAAACCAGAATTAAAAGTGCATGTGTGCGCATGCACACACACACTCAATTGTATTAATATGAGTTAGATTCTTGTTCCTTTTTTGCTTACCTCTAGTTAAAAGCTTATGTCCAAAATATTTTTTGCTCACTGTAGAGGTAATGGATTGAGGGTGATATCTTTGTAGAATTGTAGAGTAGGTACATATATTTGTGGAGATAACTGCCAATCATCGATGAATAATCTTAACTAATTTGGCAGAGGTAACTGTATAAGATCACTGAAATAAGTGGACATAATTTGGTTCGCAACACTCACAAAAGCAGGCAAATAATCCCTCAAAAGTCTGAGTTGATAACTAAAATGAATTATAGCAATATTTTGTTTTGATTTCCATTTTAAGCAGTTGTTTTAATAGTATGCCTAGTTCTCATTTAGGTTTTTCATTTGCTATTGGTTTTTATATGCTGCTCACAATGAATAAGTTCCTATGCAATACTTGCACATACAGGTGTCATGCTGTGATTAATACTGGCCTTTGCTAACTCATTTAACATGCATTCAGATAAATGAAGTAATTTACATCAAGAATGAGAAAGACTGCATCTACATTAGTATTCACAGGTTGTTCAGCTACTGTCCTGTTCATCAAGTTGGAAATATACTCTTTTGTACACTGATGGGAAAATGTCACGAGGTACAAATAGTTAAAAGAAAGGTTTTAGTATAAAAGTGCACAGCTCTAGCAATATTTGACTCCATACTATAGATTCTGTCTAAAGCACACTTCTCAAACATTGTGGGAGCCTAATCCTCTAAAATCAATACATATTCAGAAGAAACAACTATGAATTAACATTAGGGAAGAAATAACTACAGTATATTATTGCTTTTAAACTCTGTGGCAACAAAACTACTCACCGGAGTTTGCATAGGCACAATTAGTCAGAAGGCCTAAAGTGAGTTTGGACAGTGGCCTCATTTTGCCTATTCAATCATGATGGGTTTTCAATTCAAAAGTTGGCAAACCGTAATTATAAAGGAAAGAAATGTTGAAATTAATTTGCCTTTTACCTTATCATCCAAAACTTTAAAACAATGGTCTGATAAAGATTTATATTTATAACAATTAATGCCAAGGTATTATATGAATTTGCTTTCCTCAAATTTATTTATTGCTGTACTCATTTCTATTAGCCTCTTTGACCAGTCATAAAACTACATTTCTGTAGTAATTAACACAGGTAAGTCTTTTATGTCCTTGTTACAATCTGTTTACTACAGTATTGTNGGATTCTCCTTACAGTATCTAAGGTGGGGCTAGAACTCACATTCTGGTTTCTAGCCTGGTATTTTTAACTAACAAGACTGGCTCTTTCTAGTATTTAGTAAAATGCTGGATCACTCCAGCCAGACTTATGTGCCTTTTATTTTTTTATCTTGGTAGTAATTCCTTTTCAACACAGAGTTGTGCAACAGTATCTAAGATCTGTAGGACAGTAGTAAACGTTAATTTCTCTGTCAGTCCTTGTTTTAAGGGGAAGTACTGAATTTAATCAGAGGTGGGCAATGGAGGGCTCTTTAGAATCCAAATAGTATTGCACTTATTACGGTTTCTGAGCTCAAGGGATGCAATGCTTAATCGAGGGACAAAGATTGGGTTCTTTATATCCCACCATAGACAGGGGATCTGAAAGAACACAGACGAATAGTTTCTTGCGGATCCCATCTAAAAATCCTACGAAATCTAGAAAATCCACGAGTTCAAGCACCGGTTTTTTACCCAGATCCCTTCCTAAATACTATACTTAGGAAACACAAGTGAGAGGGGCTGGCATTTTCTTTCGCACAACCCGGAGCGCTTTTGCTGTATCAGCTGTCTTATAGCCGCATCTTCAGTCTCGCAGGCAATCCCCACGTGCAACCGCATCCCCTTCCAAGGCAAACCCTTATCCCACCCCCCACCCCCTTCCTTCCATCTGACGCGTTGCTGCAGTGGGAAAGAGCCGAGTAGGGGACCACCCGATAAGCCGAGACGGGTTACGCTGAGGAGCTGGTGATTCAGTCCCCGCCTCCAGCTCCTCCTCCTGCTGGATCCGCCCTCCTCGTCTAAGCGACGCGTCCGGGACATTCGTAACACGCGATCCTAGCTCCAAACACCGCAGGCAGGCGTCGGGTCGTGTGGCCGCAGCGCTTCGTTTGGCGACCGGCTGTGATGTCGGCGCTGGAGTGGTTCGCGCATAAGTCTCTGGGCGGAGGCATCTACTGGATCCAAGAGCGCTTCTACGAGTCGGGCAACCGGGCCAATATCTGGCTGGTGCGCGGCTCCCAGCGGGACGTGGTGATCGACACGGGGCTTGGGCTGCGCAGCCTCCCCGACTACCTTCACTTGGCTGGGCTTTTGGATCCCGACCCGGCCCAGGGCGATCAGGAGGGAGCCGGTGTCGGCGAAACAGAGAAGGAACCCGCAAGCGGTGGGCGGCGGCGGCGGCCGTTGCTAGCCATCGCCACCCATGTGCACTTCGACCACTCGGGCGGACTGCACCAGTTCGAGGAGGTGGCCGTGCACAGCGCCGAGGCTCCAGCCCTGCGCCGCGGCGATAACTACGAGACCGTCACTTGGCTCTCGGACAGCGAGGTGGTGAGGCAGCCCAGCCCCGGCTGGAGGGCCAGGCAGTTTCGAGTGCGACCCGTCCAACCGACGCATGTTTTGCAGGAGGGTAAGAGCGGGAAAGGGGAGGGAGAGGGTAGTGGGCTGGCAAGGGAGATCCTCATCTCATTCTGGAGGCGCCTTTCTGGAGCAGGGCAGACAGCTCTCACACCCCAACCGAGCCGAGCGGTTGTGACCAGGTGTACAGCCTTGAATCGATGAACGCTTTCTTTTAATGAGCTGCTTTCCGATCCAAGTCATGAAAGGACGCCAATGTAGTGATACAGAGATTAATTATTTCATTAAACACTAGGCTGAGTGATTTCTTGCATGCAATATCATAAATTTGGAGGGGTATTTTCCCCCTTTGAAGTAATATACTTCAAAAAGACAGCCTGTAAGAAAGAGTCTCTAGCCATCTGCAGCATTTGGCTTTCTTTAATATCGGATAGGTCATAGTAAATTGGACGGGGGCAGGGTTGAGTATCCCTAGCATTATTTCTGTATTGCACATGTCTACTGGGTTCTTGCTGAAGTGGATTATTTGTACAGAAAGGAGGGGCTGTTTGAGTCCAGCAACTTTTCTGTTACTGAAAATAAATAGTGGGTATTATCATTTGCCTACCAAAAAATACAAGAGTATTGACTGGAGCCATGTGAGAGTGTGACATGAAAACGGAAAGTTCTGGTTTTTTATTTGCATGTAGTGAAGGCACTAATTCATAAAGGTTCAGTGATGAAGGCAGATGGATTTTGAACCCTAACGTTCCTTGGTCTAGAATGCAGAATTAATAAGGCATGGGAGAGGTGAATTATGCCACTTCAGTGGCAAAGTGTAAAAGGAAGGGAATTTCTGGTGATGCAGGGAAATAATAGTAGTCTGTGTTTATAGCTTCTGTTCTTTGGGCATGGCAAAGGGTAGAAGAATTCTCCCAAGATTTGAAATCACTATGAAATAGATATACGAAGAAAAGAGAAGGAAAATGTGGAAGTGGAATGGGAATGAAAAACACAGCATTATGTGATCCCTGTACTTTTATAAAATGTTTTAAAAGGAGATTATAGAAGGGACCATCAAAACAGAGCAGTGTTATTGGTTTCTTGAAAAAAAATTGGGAGCTAAATGCATCTTTCATCCATGATGTTGAGATTATCTTTCTGGTGTTAAAAATGTATCTCTGAAAAGACAGGTAGAGAGCATCTTTGTAAAATCCATGCACAGGCCATTGAAATTGTGTGTCTGCCTCTTAAAGGTCATACAAACATGAATGTGCTCTGTCAGAGTCTGAAAGAAAGGGTAGGGTGGGGACATCTTGAGCATCTGCTGAAGAATGGGGGATATACAAAGTACATGGTAGAGCATTTCACTAAGACTCTTAGTACTTTGTGCTTCTCTAGGGCATCCCTGCTGTGGGGTGAAAAAAAGAATAAATAAACATATCAGAGCTTATCAGCCAGAGAAAAATGTCCAGGAATACAATTTTGCCAAGTAGTAACATTGCTAGGAACAATGAGTTTTCAACATTTATCCATCAAATATTTGTGCTGTACTGTGTGTGTATGTGTGTGTGTTGTGTGTGTGTAAAACGTTTTGTGTGATTTTTCCCCAGCATCTTTTTCAGTCTCTGTCCACTCTGCAATTCTATCAACATTTTGGACTAGCTGTTTATATTTAAGAAAATGCAACCAAAATCCTTCAATATTATCCACAGATTATAACCTAGGAGTAACATCTAAGGCAGGGTTTCCTCCAATTAAGTATTTCACATATTACAACCCAAAACACTACACTAACAGTTCAATCCACATGTTTCATATCTAATTTATAAGAGACATGAAAAACTATAATTCAAATTAGATTGATCATCTGATTTTTTCACTTGCTTCATTATACCTATTATTTTAGATTTCACTTTTAATACGCCCCTAGCTACATTTCTATTTATCTCTGGCCAGATTAATTTTTCAGGGATTATGAAAAGTGCTGGAATTTGCGAGCAAAAATCTTATGTTTTTTTTTATAGTATTTTCTTATTTGTAACCCCTTTAATTATATTTAATGTAA